AAGTCGGATGATTCGGATAGGTCGCATAGGTAATATATTATATTGGGTGATAAAGTCTTAAATTCACAAAATATCTCATGAAAATTTTCTACGCACTGGACAACAAAATGCATATCTGAAAAATAATTTAACTCACAAGTTGAAATGCGGACAAAATATTCCTTCTACGAACTAGACTGGTTTATCGAATGTATATGTGGATAATCTTCAATGGGAAACCTTAAAACAGAAGCTTTTCTTACTCTGAGAACAAGAAGCTAAATATTTTACAATTTCCACCAAAAAAAGGACGATATGTGGGCCTAACATCAATACGAAGTCCAATATCGATCGAGGGATGAGTTCTCATCCCATGAGAACTTAGATTAGAGCCAAATCGATAACAAATTATTTCGGCAATATTTTTAATAGAGAAAATTCCGCTGTACCACGTTATAAGATACTAGCAAGTGTCCATGACATTGTCGGGGAAAAGTCCACCTTGAAATTTTAGATTTGTGCCAACAGTTTGTGTTAGCTCAATAAACCCACATCCAATTTTTCTGTACAAAATTATTTCAACATCAGAACATCAGAAATCAACAGTGATTTCAATATCAAATTTCAGAATTTCAACTCTATCATTTCCCCAATATTAAATTTAGTCGTATTTATAGCCAAATCCATTTACATATCTCAACCCCAGAAATCAACAGTGATCCAAATTAATACCATTTTTATCAAATTTCAGGACTTCAGCTATATTTTTTCACCCAGTACCAGATTTAGTAAATTACAGTACGCATACCCCCTACCAGCTCCTTCTCTCAATCATTTCAGCTCTATTTCTTCTCACAATATCAAATTTAGTACTATTTTATACTTTTCGTACAATTATGGTACCCATTTCCAAAATCGCCTTCATATTTTAACCAAAGACACCAATAGTGACAGTTATATCAAATTTCAGGATTTTAGCTCTTTTTCTTCACACAATACCAAAATATATACAATTTAGAACTATTCGTACAATTATAGTACACATTTCCCCAACCCGCTCAATATTTCAATCTAATATACCAAAAGAGACCTCAATATCAATTTCTTGGATTCCAGCTATATCCCTCCACCCTGTACCTAATTTTGTACCACTTAGTACTTTTCGTACAATGATAGTAAACATTTTCAAAATCCAACTGCAAACTCATTCATATCAAACTTCAGGATTCAACCCAGCACCAAATTTAGTAATATTTCATAGTTTTCGTACAATTACAGAACACATTTTCAAAACAACCTCCAAATATCAATTTCAGATACTAACAGCAGGCCTCCAGCAGGATTCCAGCCCTATTCCTTCACCCAGTACCAAATATTGTACCCTTCAGTACTTTTTCTACAGTTATAGTATACATTTCTGAAACCACCTCCATATGCTCCGGCTACATATGAACAGCAACCCTAATATCAAATTTCAATTGTCAAGCACTCTCTGTTCGTTCAATACCAAATTGTACAAAATATAGTACTACTTTGTATTCTTCGTGCACTTGTGGTACACATTTCCAAAACAAACTCATTTTCTCAAACTGCCACGAACAAGGACCCCAATGTAAAATTTAAAAATTCCAGTTTTATCCGTTCGCCCTAAACCAAACTGTTCTGAATTTAGTACCATTTAAGTACAGTTCCCTCACTTATTACACATTTCCAGAACCACCTTCATATATTAAACTTATCTTCCAACCTTGGTTCTCATACCAAATTTCAAGTTTTTAGATCTGTCCGTTCACATAATGCCAAATGGTACCATTTTAGAAGTTTCGTAACACTTTAAAATTTTCGTAACCTTAAGATATTTATTTCCAAAAACCCTTTGATAATGCTATCCTACACTCCATCAGCGACTCTCATTCAAAATGTGTACCAAATATGGTACTATTTAGCACACATAAGTTCAAATTACCAAAGCTTCCTACATACCCCAAACCCACACTCCCACAGCAATGCAAATTCCAAATTTTAGGATTCCACCGCTGTTGGTTCGCCCTAATTATTTTTATTTCGTACATATAAGTACAAATTTCCAAAACTACCTGAATATTACATTCCTTCACGCCGACAGCAATCTTATTTCCAATTTTCAGAATAACAACACAATTGGTTATCCCAAATCCAAATTGTGCAAAATTCGGTACTATTTAGAACACTTAAATAGAAATATTCATGACTACCTACATCATACAATCCAATAGAAATCTTATTTCCAAATTTTCAGAATTCCAACCCCGTACTTAAATTTAGTACAATTTCTAAAACATGCTCAGTACTAGAAAGCAATAGTAATTTTTTCCTTCTAAATTTCAAAATTCCAGCTTTATCGGTTCGCCCAAATCGAAATTGTACCAAATTCAATACCATTTAGTACTTTTCGTGCACATAAGTATACATTTCGACAACTTCCTCCATATCCCAAACCTACACTTCGCCAGTAATATTAATTTCAAGTTTCCGAATTCTACCTCCTTCCGTTCCTCCAAATACAATTTTTGTACTTAATTTAGTACCGTTTAGTGCTTTTCGTATACATGAGTACACCTTTCCAAAATTACTTCCTTACATCGACTCTACTCCTCAACCTTGATTCCCATTTCAAATTTTTTAACTCAAACCGTTATGTAATGGTACCAAATGTAGTACGATGTAGTACTTCTCGTACGCTTATTGTGCCAATTTCCAAAAACCCTTTGGCAATCTATTTTACACTCCATCAGTGACCCTCATTCCAAATTTAAGAGTTCTAGCTCTTCTGCTTCCTTAAATACAAAGGGTAACTTTTTTATACTATTCGTACCGTTCTAGTACGAATTTCTAAAAACCCAGAAATTCCGACCGAGAGTGAAACTCACCCAAAATTTCAAATAACAAACTTCTGGTACAAATTTATTGTAATTTGCAACGCAACTGAAGTCATTGCAGAACTTCGAGTTTCGAACTCTAAGTGCACCAAATTTCAGTTAAGAAAAGAAAATACAACGTTAAGTTCGGTTGGACTGAATTTGTTTACTCTCCACCAAGTGAAAACTTGTCTTTTGGGCAAATCGCCTTTATCCAAAAATCCTGGGGTAGATATGGCCTGAAATATTACATATTAATACTACATCTTCAATATACCGGAAATCTGGAGATTTTCTGACGAGAGTTCAATAGACGGACGGACTGACTGGAAAGGATATATCTATACAGGTAGGCCTGAAGGTCCATCAAAAGACATTTGAGTCTTTTATGAGAAGACCTAGTGGTCTTCAATATACCGTAAATCTGGAGATTTTCTATCGAGATTTTAACAGGAGAAAAGACTGACTGGAAAGGATATATTTATACAGGTAGGCCTGAAGGTCTATGAGTCTTTTATGAGAAGACCTTATAGTCTTGAGGAGGAAATGCGATATTCTATAAGACAACTTTAAGACCTTTTATGAGGAGAACCTAGGGTCTTCTATGAGGAGAATCTAGGGTCTTCTATGAGGAGAACCTGGGGTCTTCTATGGGGAGAGCCTGGGGTCTTCTATGAGGAGAACCTGGGGCCTTCTATGAGGAGAGTCTGGGGTCTTCTATGAGAAGGCCCTAGGGGTTTACTGTGAGAAGACCTTCAAACCTTCTATGAGAATATTTTCGAGTCCTATATGAGAAGATCTTTGAGTCTTCTACGAGGAGACCTTCGGGACGTCCATGAAAAGACGTTGGAGTCTGCCTTGAGAAGACCTTCACGTCTTCTTTGAGGAGACCTTAAGGTGTTCTATGTGAAAACCTAGTGGTCTTATATGAGGATACCTTGGGGTATTCTATAAGAAGACCTACAGATCTTTTATGTGAAGACCCTGGGCCTTCTGTGAGGAGATCCTGAGGTCTTCTATAAGAACCCTTCGGGTTTTTTAGATGATGACTTAGAACACTTCTATGAGAAAACCTTTAAGTCTTCTATGAGAAGGCCATCTAGTCTTTTACCTCACCTTGTGTATTTTAGAGGTATCTTGCGTACAGGTTTGCCCATATTCGACGGACCCATCTGGAAACGCCATAACTTTTGACAGAGATGTCACATCGCTTAATGACATACCGCGTTTGAAGCGTCAGTCCAAGCAGATTTTTACCATGAACCAATACACGCCACGCGAGCGCTCCGAAATAGTTGAAACTTACATTCAACAGAAGAAGTCAATTGTGAAAAAACTGTGAGAAGTGCGCCTTCTAAGAACACCATTAAGCGTTTATACGAAAAATTTTCAACTGGTAAGGCTCTTTCTAATCCGAAGAGGCCATATGATTTGCATTTGTTCCCGTACAAAATTCAATTGACGCAAAGAATGTAGCCTGCAGACAAGCCTCGTCGATTGGAATGGGCCCAAAGGTCCGTCGAATATGGGCAACCCTGTACTTCATCAACATAACTTGGGTCAATTAAAAAAAACATCTGCCCCTCTTTTCAATTCGATTCACTTAATTCTAATTTTCATTTCAAATTCCATTCTTATTTTGAGATTTTTGTTTTTTTTTATGTTTTATTGATCTGCAATTTACAAGATTCATGAACTGGTTGGTGGTGAACGCACCAAGCTGTAAAGGTCAACAACTTACAGACTTTGACCTCTATTCTATTGGAAATAAAAACGACAAAAATTGCTTTGGTTCAGTGGCAGCAGCGGCGGCAGCAGCAGCAGTCAACGATTAGAGCAGTAGCAGTCCAAAAAAAAAAAAACAATCAGACCAATATAAACAAAACAAACTGGTATTTGAATTCATGATTTTGGGTTAGAGTAAGGGAGGGATGGAGAGTGGGGACACGGCCGAAGGCAAGCAATGCAAGTTCAATATTGAAAATAAACACAGCATTTAAATTATTCATGTTTTATATTTTTTCAAAATGCAGGGCAGAACCTGAAATTAATTTTGATATTTGATATTGACTTATGATGATTTATCTCCTTTCCTTCTCTCTCTCTCTCTCTCTTCCATTACAGATTTGCTTTAGAGAAAATATTAGATCTCTTTGCATTTGTCTATAGCTGAAACTGCAGCACAATGCTGCTACTGTACTTACCTGAAACGTCAACATTTCGCAAGCGAACTCACGAACCACCTCCTGCAATCAATTTCGAAAATTCTAAACGCAATTATTTTCCGTTCAAATATCCTTCCCAACATGGCATAACAATGTGAAAAACGGAAAACTTTTCCCTCGTAAACAATTTGATTTCTTTTAACCAAAAACCAAAACTAAGAAAAGCGGAAACTTTTCCCCCGCGGACAACAAAATCAACGAAGGTTAACGTTACAGGAAAATTTACACTGCATTTATGTTCCTGTTCTTGGCAGAATTTCGGAAGCATTATTGATCCAGTAAAACGTCATTTTAAAGAAGTTGAGGAGGAGGGCGAGGAGGAAATTTCATTCATTGATGCATGGTAGCTGTTCATGAACCATAACTAACAAAATGCCAGAGGTAAGTTGACAAGTAGTTTAACATGGCAAACAATAGAAAGGAAGGCGAACCATGAAACATTTTTTTCTAAATAATTTTTTTAAGTATGTTCAAGAAAATGAAAATCTGAGAAAAACAAAATAAAAATAACAGGTAGAATTCAGCAGAATCTGAAAATAGAGCTAAAAATAGAAGACAAGTGTAACGTCGTTTTGAAAGTCTATTTCGCAAAGTAGCCTTAATAGAGGAGGAAATATACCCCCTCTTTTATATATATATATTTTTATACCCTCCACCTTGGAAAGGAGGGTATATTAACTTTGTCATTCCGTTTGTAACATCCTTAAATATTCGTCGTAGACCCCATAAAGTATATATATTCATAATCAGCATAAAATTCTAAGTCGATTTAACGATGTCCGTCTGTCTGTCTGTCTGTCTGTCTGTCTGTCTGTCTGTCTGTCCGTCTGTCTGTCTGTCTGTCTGTCCGTCTGTCTGTCTGTCTGTTGAAATCACGATACAGCCCACATTATTTGACGTAGAGCGCCAAAATTTAGCAGAGCAATTGGTATTGTGTCTAGGATGGTTGGTATTGAAAATGAGATATATCGGTCCACGTTCTGGTATTGTCCCCATATAACGGTACCTCCCGATATTCGGTATTTTGATGATTTATGCCACATTATTTAACGGATTTGTCTGAAAATTGGTATTTGTAGGTCATAACAGATCCCTGTATGTGTGGCAAAACATAGCATATATAGGTCCACGTTTTGGTATAGCCTTCATATAATGGTACCTCCCGATATTCGATATTTTGATTATTTTTGCCACAGTTTTTAACGGATTTGTCTAAAAATTGGTATTTGTTGGTCATAATGAGTTCCAGCTCCGGTGGCGAAACATTGCATGTATGGGTCCATGATTTGGTATAGCCCCCATATAACGGTACCTCCCGATATTCGGTATTTTGATGGTTTTTGCAACATTTTTTCACTGATTTGTGTAAAAATTGGTATTTGTGAGTCATAATGGGTCCCAGTTCGTGTGGCGAGTCATTGTAGTTATAGGTCCACGTTTTGGTATAGCCCCCATATAACGGTACCTCCCGATATTCGGTAATTTGATGATTTTTGCCCCTTTTTTTCACGTATTTGTCTGAAAATTGGTATTTGTAGGTCATAATGGGTTCTAGCTCCGTTGGCGGAACCTTGCATGTGTAGGTCCACGATTTGGTAGAGCCCCCATATAACGGTACCTCCCGATATTCGGCATTTTAATGGTTTTTGCCACATTTCTTCTAATGTTTCCTTTACCCTAAGGTGGAGGGTATTAAAAGTTTGGCCCGGCCGAACTTAATGTTTTTTTACTTGTTTTTTTTTTTTGAAATGTTCGGATTAAGTTTCCTTGGGGTTCGTTGATTTTAAGTCTATAGTCTCTTCCGCAATATTGCAGAAAAAACACTAGGATTATTTTAGTTTAACATTCGAATTCTCAGCGAGTCAACGAAGGGGTCTTTTTGTCCTTTTTTTGAAAATATGGGTTGGAAAGTCCCTTTAAACCGGATCGTAGCAAGTCAAAATATTCTACAAAATTATTTGACACAAAATTCTACCATATGTCCTAGAAGATATCGATAGTCCTAATCTTGCCTAAACGCCAGGAATTCATGTACTATATTAACAAGTACAATAGTATCAGTCGGTTTTGACGACTGTTATGAACGTGGCAGATTTGGACTATATCGACTACTTCTTGTACTTTAAATGAGATATGTGCACCTTTTCAGAAAATGGAAATATGCGTCAGGTAACAGATATAGCGGACCAAAGTATTCCATTTTCACACTTTATTTAATACAGATAAAATGCATCATCCAAGTCTGAATAGAATCGGATGTTAATTTTGCGTTTTATGAGCTTCATGGATACTCTAAATTTTCTTTCTGTGCAAAAAATAATAGATACCAGAAGGAGTGGACCGATATTGCCCATTTCCGAACTCGATCTAAGTTTGACAAAAATATTACGATGTATCAAGTTTGAAACAAATCGGATACTCCCTTCAAGAGTTATCGTTCGCACTAGCCAGACAGACAAGCGGACGGACGAACATCGTTAAATCGACTCCAACTGTTATTTCGACTAGGCATGTTTTGTATCAAATGATATATACCCTCTCTAGCCTTATGGCTGAGGGTATAAAAACACTTTTAAGACTTAAAGCCGCACCTTGAGTCAGTTTGTAAAAAATTTTCCAACAAAACATCATTTTAGAGGGATGACGTCAAAAGCAAAATTATTCTTCATCAAATTTTATTATAAGTTACCAAAGATAAGAAATGCCTATTTCCACTATTTAACAAAAAAAAAAATCCATAAATTATTCCAAAAAAGCCCGAAAATATTCCCCGATCCTTTTGATCAATTTTTTTGGCCTTTTTGCGAGTTGAGGCATAAAAGTAACATAAAAATTCATTTTGAGCAGAAAGTCATTAAGGAAAAAAATCTAGACAACATTTCACTTGTTCTTGCGGGACTGGGTCGATATATCCCATCTTTACATCAGATCTTGTGTTAGTAGAAATAATAGGATGTGTGAAATATTAAAAGAACCGGATGCTTATTTCGGATTTTATGATCGTTTTTGTTATTTAAGTATTTGATGCTTTGTGGGAGAGGTACCTATATCTACCATCTTTATAACACATCTTGTTTTGATAGAAACAATGAGATCTACCACATCTGAATGGAATCGGATGTTAATTTCGCGTTTTATGAGCTTCATGGTTATTCAAAATATTAACTCTTTGTTGGGTAGGGACCAGAAGGAGTAAACCCATATTGCCCATCTTCACACCAGACCTTGGGTTAGTAAAAATATTGTGATATGTGTAATTTGAAGGCAATCGTTTTCTTAAAACCCATTTTATAAAAATTATAATTATTCAAAATTGCCCCCTCTGTGGAGGAGGTATTTGATAGAGTGGACCGATATTGTCCATTTTCGCACATGACCTAGCACTGATGTAAATATTAGGATAAGAAAAATTGGAGCAATATCGGCGTATCCTTTCTCTTTCGTTTTTCATCCTTAAAATATGTTTTTGACATTTGTTAATTACTGGCGTCTAGGTAAAATTTAGATTTTTGATGTCTTCTAGGATCTACAGCAGAATTTTATGACAAATAAATTTTTAGAATATTTTGACTTGTTGCGCCCTTGAGGATTAAATATTGTGAACGCAGATCATTTCAGATTTATTGAAGAAATTTATCATAATAGATTCTGATGGCAAGCGCACATTTTGAAAAAAATACCCAATTTAAAGTCTCATTTACGATTTGACCACAATTACCGAGTTCTGACTTAGGCTGAAATTATTTGGTCTGTGTTTTAGGATTAGTTTGAATTTTAAGAAAAATGATTTGTTTTTCTTCAGTACCTTCTTTGTAACAAGTTATGGAAATGTATGAAGTAAAAAATTAGAAAAAAACAAGTAAGCAAAGGCTACAGTCGAGCGGGGTCGACCGTTGAATACCCTACAACACTATAATAAACCATACAGTTTATATAGGCGAGATACTCGAAATAATTCCACAAGATATTGTGACAAATTATAAAAGAAAACCATCAGGATTCGTTCTCTAATTTTCGAATAATAGCAACTTAAACTAATTTGACCAATGGTCTTCCTAGATCTGGAACCAATATTTCCCAAAGTCCTATAATTTCTTAGAAGTGGCAAAAGATTAACATTTATTATTGGTTTTTGACTGAAACGCATCTATATGAGATACATACATTTGACTATATTCTTCAACGAAATCAGCGTAAACGAAATAGTCGGAAGTGCGTCTTTCCTGTACTTGTGAATTCTCCAAAAAGTCACTGGGATGGACATTTTCGTATTTTGTCTACAAAAGTTGGCAAACTCCTTCACACATTGAATATTTTTGGATGGCCATCCAAAACTGCTTGGCTTTTGCAATGTGCGGTAACCCCCATTCAAATGTGCGTGAGAATCGGGCGATAATTACGACCTGCCGACAATTTTGCAGTTTTTGGTCCATTTCAACCCCTAAATATATGACGATCATCTCCAAAAAGAGTAGGCTTCTATTCTGACCCTCATCTTATCCCCATGCAAAATTTCGTAAAGATCGGGCCATAAATGCGATCTGTATATGATATCCTGATATCCTAACTACTTAGTTTTGTTAGCTGTAGAAATATTACCAAATGTTTAATTCAAAATAAAAATATGCCAAAAATATGACAAAATTGAAAAAATATGAGAAAATTTTACAAAATCAATATTTTCATCTCTAGATAGATATTTTTATGCGATTTTTTTTTAGACGTTTTTTCTTTCCTGCCAAGAGGCCATTCTGAATTAATGAGAACTGTCGAAATCAGTTCAGCCGTTCTCGACATATAAGAGATTTTTCAAGCATATCTTCTTTGATAGACATATATATCGCACATATTTTGCTATATATCCGATTTTTTGGATGTTAACATCAGTGTAAAGATCAGAAGTAACCTTGTCATGGCTTCGTGATTTCGCCGGGATTTAAAATAATCGCGGTTTAATGAAAATTATTGAATTTTTTCATCACAAAAGATATGGTCTATTTTACCCGCTAAATATTATCCGATGACCACCCAAATTGGTAGGCTTCTTCCCCGCCCTAAACTCTATCTACATGCGAAATTTCGCGTCGATTGGTCTATAATTGCGACCTGTATAGCTACTGCAAAATCCGACATTTTTTCAGTATTTGGTCCATTTCAACCTCTAAACATTTGGCGATCATCTCCAAAAGCAATAGGGTTCTATTCTGGTCCAAGCCCCACCTACATTCTAAATTTCGTGAAGATCGGGCCATAATTGCGACCTGTAGAGTGATTACAAATTAACATGGACAGACGGACAGACGGACAGACGGACAGACGGACAGACGGACGGACGGACATACATAGCTAGATCGACTCAGCTCGGCGAGCTAGGAAGATCC